AATTTTCACAAATATTTTTTGGTTGGAAGAGAGGGCCCGACATGGCCAAGTGGATAAGGTGCTTAGCTCGTAATATGAAGGTCGCGGGTTTCAATCTCAGTTCCACCAAACATGCTCGGTGTGAGTTGGCGGTGGGTGGTGATGACTAGCTGCCTTCCCTCTAGTCTTTCACTACTAAATTAGGAACGGCATGAAATTCAACAACAAACCTTTTTTTTCCATTTTGCAGAAAGATTAGTAAGCTATTTATTTCGATAGATAATATTAAATTAAAGATTTGACAATATTTATATAAAAGCAACGTACACTTTGACTAAGAAGCGGTTAGAAGTACATTCGTATCTGTTAGGTTTCTTGGCTACTAATAGTGATACGTCGACCACATTATTTTAAATATGTGAATAAAAATATACTCGAAAGTTAGGATCTAACCTAGATGTGAGAAAATTCTATCGCATCACATTATATTATATTATTATATATTGTAGTAGATATAAGTAAGAGTGCAACTTCTAAATAAGACAGATCGAAAAGAAACATTTGAAAAAACCAGAAACTTTATAATTGATGTACATGTTCACTCATGTAGAATACCAAAATGATTCTTAGATACTAACATTTTGAAATAAGTGGATGATCATTACGATATGAAATTATTTACTAAGAAAGTATTATTAACTTATGATAGAATAATATAAAACGAAGATAAATGTGATTACGATTACGTAAAATATGTATAGCAATTTGTATAATACAAAAATATCATCTCAAATATATATATCATCTCAGAATTATTTATAACCGAAATACTGATTTTTGTTAATATGTTTTAAATGCTTACTTATTTATTTTTTTATATAAATATCTATTAAAAGCATGATACTTTGGCTCTTTGTTCTTTAAGATTATTTTATGAAAAATCTCAATGAGTTGTTTAATTTGATTCACTACTGGCGCCACCTGTTGATTTCATAAAGAGTTATAAAATCAAATAGTTTTAGTGACTTCCTATTTTTGCTGGTCTTTTTAAAAACTGCGTCAAACAAGACAACTTTTATGTTCTTCGAGCATATATAGGGTTACTAAATCATATAAATAGCGATTTAATATGACCTGATAACCCCTTGTGGTTTTAGAACTTCTGAAACTTCTAGGTTATAAGGTCTTTGTAACTTTGATAAAACTACTAAATATTTTATTGTTCTCGGCGGTTTAATATTACTATTGTATAAAATGTGTTTCTAAAGACTCTAAATCAATAAAAGAACGAAATATATTACCTATAAATAATGTCAATGTAAAATTTATTACAAGCACAAATAATAAAGTACATACTAAAACTAAGAACTTGGAAAGTGTAAATTTTATTTCGCATCTAAAAACGTTAGAAATATTTCTGAAATAGTTTTAAAAATTAGCTTGATTATTTTACCTGACTTAAACTATTTCTTATTATTTAATCTTCATTTAATTTAGCTGAATCAATAACTGGCAACAATTCTAACATAAAGGTGAAATGCTAGTTTGATTGAAAAAATATATATTGTCTTATTATACTATGAAATGACATTGAATTCTAACCTCGAAGCTACTCTAGTAAATCACTTAAACGATACGTGTGGTAACGTAAGGTTTGTCTCTAATAATTGTCTTATTCTTTAAATGCTAAGTTTGTTAAATATTATAAGAATAGCAGATCCAAAATACTTCTGGAGTTATTAGAGTTTTAGTTTCGGACATGTTCTTACAAGTGGTTAGTAAGGTAAGTTTTCGTATGTCCCAGTTGTGGTATAAGAGCACAACTCTTTCCATAGGGGCGGATAACTAGTAAAACTAAAGATATTTTCGGTTTATTAAGCAAATTAAGTTTAAGACCTACGTTATTTTGTGAAGATAAAGAAAGGACTTCTTCTAGTTACAAAATAAAAAATTTAAGTCACAATGCATCCATTCTTTCCTGATGATATTTTTTTTCTGAGTTTTTAAAACAAATGCGATAACTTGTTTGTTCGAAGTTAGGCACAAACCTACACAATGAGCTATCTGTACTCTATCTACCACGGGTATCAAAACTCAGTTTCTAGCGTTGTAAGTCAGCAGACATATTACTGTGCCACTGGGGGTATGCAATAGCTTTCTTAAATTCCTCAATACATCATTAACAGACAACGGAAATAACAGAAGTGACCGAACGTCCTGAAAATCTTAAATACACAACAATAAGATCAAGAATTCTATTTTTAACATTTGTGAATTTTACGATCTACAGAACTGCTTGAAGCTCACTGTTTCTAAACTTTCCTGACGCTATACAAAATGTATGGTGTTTTAAACAACATTTACAAAACTAATACTAAGTTTTATAATTATATCAGATCAAACAATAAAATTATACTTAAGTGTATCTCATTCGAATGTAGTAAGGTACCATGAATTTATTTTTATTAATATTAACATATTTAATTTTAATATCATACAATCAGTTTGCTGACACAGTAAGAGGATGTGAAAGTTATTGTAATCTACAATCAGCATAATTCTCCAAATCATCAGTTTCAGGCAAATCCGTTACATTGTAACTTAGGTAAGATTTCTGCATAATACTTTAGGTCACATGTAATGTGGAACCTTTTACGTATTTGAATTAAAAATAGATATTACATAAAGATATTCTACATTAAATAGAATTAAAATAAGAGGGCAAAGTTTGAGTACTATTTTATAAAAACATTTCTAATGATAAAAGAGACAAAGTGTAATAGATGTTTAGTGATCCAAAAGGAAAGAACTGGAGCAGCTTAGCGATTAGTAAATCCAAGGTTTGATTCGCATTATGCTGCTGATCACGCTTCCCACTTTCAGCTGTGAAAATGTTATAATTATGATAGTCAATCTAGTTACTCGTTTAAATAGCAGCCATATAATAGATGATGTATGCAGCTTACTTTAAATAAACAAGTTAAGCAAGTTGGACATATTTCGTGAACGCTGATAACAAACAGGTAACTTTGCTTTATAAGTTTAGAGAGAAACTGTAAACACTTACACTATTTAAGGTGCACTTATGTCATGAAAAAGTTATATGATTAAACGTGTTGATTGTTTATTATTGGGAAAATGCACGATTACTTCAACTATGTGTTTATTTGTACAAAACATTATCATAGAATTCCTGATTTGCAACATACATTTGGCCAAATGCATGATAGACATGCATTTTACTTTGTGGAATTTTACTTTGTGTTACACTTTTATTGAATGAATATATTTAGTAACAAGCGAAAAACATTTCCTGCTATTGACCAAGCATAACCATGAATAAATAGCAGAATGAAAGTAAACAAAAGTATTATGATAGTTAACCTTAATTTATGTTGGTGTTTTTTCTGTTTTGCTGCTAATTTAAAATTATGTGCAATTAAGATGCCTCCACCCCCTAGTGGCACAGCGATATGTCTGCGGACTTACAACGCTAGAAACCGGGTTTCGATATCCGTGGTGGGGAGAGCACAGATAGCCCATTGTGTAGCTTTGTGCTTAATTTCAAACAAACAAAGCAATTAAGATAATAACCCATTTTTATATTTCTCAAAACAAAAATTGTTCATTCCAGTAGCTCAGCGGTAAGTCTGAAGGCTTACAACGCTAAAAACCAGGTTTCGATACCCATGATAGCATAGCACAGATAACCTTTTGTGTAGCTTTGTGCTTAATGACAAACGAACAAATATTATTATAAGAGTAATGATACGTAGTTGTCTGCTGTACATTTAAGACGCTAAGACTTCAGTTAATTCTATCTCCAAACATTCTTCCAAACAACTTAATAGCGTGCTGTTAAAATGTTTACCCTATAAGTTGTAGTCAAATATCAATTAAACCACTAAGAGTTTCTCATCACTTACGAAGATATAACACCACAATTCAGAGAACTGTTGGTTTGCCTCTTTCAGAATACTTAGTTATAAATTTCTACAACGCTGAGTGTATATTATGTTCAACATGTGAGAAATTTGGTTCTACTACTCTGTCATAGAAATATGCAATAAATAGGAAATGATTTAATGATTTAAGCAAATAGATTGACTATTCCGAAAGACATGACTTTGTGAAGTTTTTTTTTATTCAAAGATGGCGACTGATGAGTAATAAATAACACTTTCTTGTTTCATAGTATTCTTGATTCTTATTCCCACCACTATGGTAAAATAACTGTCATTCTCGAGTTGGTTACAAACCATTATAACATATTAACAATGTTCATACTTACCGCAAAACTACTGCTAACAATCTTTAGCTTATGAAGGATAAAGTAAGATTAAGTGATATTACATTTGTTAGATCTAAGAATGGTAGTTGATCTCTTATATCACTGTTGGCAAATGAGACAAGCATACTTGAATGTTGCTTAGAAACGTTGAAACATAGAACGAAACGTTAAATGCTGTGGTTTTATATTCATCTCAGCAAACTTTTCTTTAAGGAAGAATAGTTTCGTGGAAATTAATAATTTACTATTCTATAAGCATCAGAGGATATTCATGAAAGAAATGAGTTGTTATCCTTCTTTCTAATCAAAAGGTCCCAATTACAAAAACCTGATGGTAATCTTTACATTATTTTATTCATGGTAAAATAAACGAAGTAAAGAGTAAGAGCTGGCCTATAGCTGAATATTAATTTCATCATAAATAGTGTAATTAGGAGACAAAACTTCCTTTTCTTTTTTAACAAGATGTTTCTTAGTTTTGTTAAGTTGGTGATGAGATAAAGAATTATTCCAATTTGTAACTAGCTAATTAAACAACATCCTGAAAATTCTGTTGCTTGATTTCGTCCACAAACGTAAAACTTATTCATATTTAACTAAGCTTTTTAACATTATGTATGAAAATTCAGCAATAATACTATTAAAGTTTACTATAACAAACAATATTTGATAATATTTTAAAGAAGTTTTGGTATTTAATTTTTGTTTTATTCTATTTTCTTACGACCAGGAGGAACCATACTTGATGTATAGCAAACCAGAACCAGGCGAGCATCTGGAAGGAAATGATATCTTTGAAGGATATTGCAAAGATCTAGCTGACTTGATAGCCGAGAAGCTAAAGATAAATTATGTATTAAAGCTCGTTAATGACTCCAATTACGGAGGACAGGATCCTAACTCTCCAGCTGGCTGGAATGGAATGGTTGGAGAACTGATTCGATGGGTGTGGTATCTTAATATATCAGATATACTAAACTGCTGTATATCGTATTTTAGCACAATTACTTGTTCATATTCAGTTGAAAGTTATTAATAATGTGTTCTATTACCTTATCTTATTGATAAATATTAAAACATGCGTATATATATGTGTGTGCGTACAATTATTGCTATTGCACATACTTGTGACATTTCGTAGACTGTGTATCCCCAACGCCTTGAAGATTATACTTTGACAGAAAGCTCTCATTCTACATTTTCACTTTTTCTATGTTTTATTTCCATCGTTTTATTGGTTATACTTTGACAGATATCTCCTTTTTTTTTATAATATAAGTTTTACTTTTTCCAGAGCCAGGTGGTTAGGGAGCTTGACTCACAATCTGAGGGTCGCGGATTCTAATCCCCGTCCCACCAAACATGCCGTGGGGGCGTTATAATGTGACGGTCAATCCCACTATTCGTTGGTAAGAGAGTAGCCCAAGAGTTGGCGGTGGGTGGTGATGACTAGCTGCCTTCCCTCTAGTCTTACACTGCTAAATTAGGGATGGCTAGCGCAGATAGCTCTCGTGTAGCTTTGCGCGAAATTCAAAACAAACAAACAAAGAAAACGTTTTCAACAATGCAATTTGTACTTACGTTTTAATATTCTCTGTTCTTCATGCCCGGCATGGCCAGGTGGTTAGGGCGCTCGACTCGCAATCTGAGGGTCGCGGGTTCGAATCCCCGTCACACCAAACATGCTCGCCCTTTCAGCCGTGGGGACGTTATAATGTTACGGTCAATCCCACTATTCGTTGGTAAAAGAGTAACCCAAGAGTTGG